GGTGCAGGGAGGAGGCTTCTGTTCTTGCAGTGTTTCATTAAGAGGCTAAAGTATACATGGTCAGTTAAAGTAAATTCCACCTGGGTTGTGGTGCAAATATGAGCTGGTAAGCTTAGCAGAGCCAAGCAGAGAGAGGGACAAAGGTGTGCCCCTATCAGGCCAGTAGTTGGGTACCAAGACAGGAAGATGAGGCTCCCGTGAGCAGAGGCAGGAGATACGGTCAAGATCAGGGCAGCAACGTGGCCAGAGGCATCTGGTGAGTTTATAGCCCCAACACACACTCTTACAAGGTGTATGTCCGAACCCACAAGTGTGTCCGCCACCCACACATTTAGCTATGCCGCGCAAGAGGCTTAGGGCTTTCTACTGGTGTTAAATGTGCCTGTGTTATGGCTATGTGTATCTCCCCTTGACGTTATATCCATAAGGTCAGGGATTAGAAATAGCACCTTTCATATGAAAGTTAACAATACCTACAAGACTAACTGGTTGCCTTATATGCTTCCTTAATCGTGACTTTTGGGAAGAAGTTTCCATTGTCTGTGCAGAACCCCATTGTTTCCTACAGGTGATAATTAAACTTTATCGGTAACGCAGGATTAGTGGACTGATTGTTACTTTAGGTACTAAGACGTCAGGATATTTACATATGTCTTCCAGGTCATGTTTAAGGTAAGAACCAGTACCAAGGTTAAAATAGGTCATAATGGGATAAAATAGATCATAATCATTTTATATAATCATGCCAGCTTCACTGATGCCATGAAAAAGGAACAGCTTTTAAATACCACCGCTCCTTTGAATTCCCCCATGCATGCCAAAATGTTACTTGGGCTTCATGGGGAGATGTGGAGGAAGGCACTTGGAAGCAAGCTGGACTCTCCAAATTGCTATTTGGCACTCAATACCTACAACTTAGAGAGAGAACAAACGTCAAACAATGAACATTGTTTAAAAAACTGGCACTGCTAACGTTTCAGTGAACTGGTAACCTTTCCCTCTGCCATAAATCCCTCGAACTTTCCAACCTTAAACAGTGCTTTGGGATGGAATGCAAGTGAAAACTTGCAAAAGTGTCATGGGAAGACATCAATTTTGTTTCACAATACTTTTGTTTGTAGACATATGGAAAGCACGCTATTATTAGGTTTCTTTCTTCTGTGCCACTGCAGATTCCCCTAAATGGTTTCACAATTCTTTGCTCATCCTCTTATGCTTATAATCCCTTATTCCACTCAACACCCTACAAATGTGACACAAAAATTATTTTTCGAGCTCTGGCAGATGTTTGTATTTTTTTTCCATATTTCCATTACCATCAGAAGTTGTGGAAGGTCACAGCAGCAGTTATTTGTGGAGGTTAGCTTGATAGCAATATTTGGATTAGCTTTATGCCAAAAGATGGGTAGAACTGAATCTTCTCATAATATATGTATTTAGCCCAGGGATGGGGAATCTGCAGCCCTCTAGATATACTTGGACTTCAGTTCCCATACTTCCTGACCCTTGGCCATACTTCAGTTCCCATACTTCCTGACTGGGGCTGATGGGAGTTGGAGTTCCTGAAGGTTTCTGAACATCTCAGGAAAAGTTGTGCTTCTTAGAGTTCTGCAGCTGCCTACGAAAGTAGGATTTATGCTACATGGATTGCCTTGAAAGTTATGCTGAAGCAAACACTGCCAGATTCTTGCCTGTTGCATTAAGAAGTTAAATACGGTTTATCAAAAGCTGCAGTTGTACAATGTTCTGAAATACTTTTACGTTGGGATTGCAAATAATCCTGCCTTGTACAGAGTCAGAGACCATTGGTCCAGCTAAGGGAAATTCTAAAGGGCTTTGAGAAAGAAGCAGAAAAATGGAAGCCTCTTTCACAGGGGGGAAAACTTTTGAAAAATTAGAGGACATTTATCATCAGAGCACTAGCATAAGCATCTAGCAGAAACTGGGATTTTCTACATGGGCTGGTTAATATTCATTGCCTCCAAATGACTAATGAATAGAAATGGACTAGGCTCTGGGAAATGCTCCAGCCTTGAGCAAGAGACAGTTGTACCATTTCTGAGCCAAGCCCAAAACCTTGAGTGGAATTAGGCAAAAGCCCTATAAACACGAAGCAGTTACTATTGCAAAAGCCCTAACAAATGGAAAGTAGTTACAGTACTATTTGCATCATCTTCATCAAATTCTCTGCCCAACCCACCAACTTGCAAGATTGAATTTATACTGGTTTTTGAAGTACCAAACTCTGTCTTCTGCTCTTCTGTGTACCAGGCTGGAAGCTGAAAGTAGTTCCCATGAAATAATCATCAGGACCATTCAGTGTCTATAATGAACAATCTATCCCTGTAATGGAGGTCAGTAAGCGATTCACTTTTCATACCCAGCTCCCGTAGCCACATTTTCAGGGAGAAGACCTAGGGGTACCAACAGTAAGTATTTAAAAAATAAACCACGCTCTGCCAGATAACCAATACAGTGAAGTAACATACACAGAGAGGCACACCAAATTTTGCCAGACCCAGGGCTTTATCCTTGAATCACTAGGTGCAACCCTAATTCCACACCCAAACCATCAATCTTCCCTAAGTTCATATCTGATTCACTAGGTTTTGTTCTGTTCCCACCTGCCCTGGATCTATCCCTGGCATAGCCCAGTAAGTCAATATTTGCTTTGTTTTAAACAACAACAGGCAAGGCAATATTTCCAGCTACTTCTATTGTACCAGGACATCACAAGACATAACACAAGCAAGCTGACATATGCCAGTAGGTCAGAATCCAGCCCTCAATGATGGTATTAACATCACTTCAACCCCCAGCCCCAGCCCATCCTTTCTATTATGTTTGTTACAACATAAATACAATCTTAACCGAATTTACTCAGAGATAGTAAATTGACTTCAGTAATACTTATTTCCAGAAGTCTTTCAGACTGCAGATCATGCTTGTTAATGTCTATTGATTCTCTCCCCCATGAAGCTGTGTAGTGCACTTAGCAATAGTTACATGCAAGCAGGAATTTATTTATTTTTTAACCCCTCTCTCATCCTTTTTCTTTAGAAAATGCAGAACAGTTAAATGGGATTTCCAGCAGCCCAGAATATAATAAACTCCACAAATACTTAGCTTCAACAATACTATAGATTCCAAGACATTTGATGAACCAAGATTTCTTCATGGCAACTCTGTAGGTAAAATTGAACACCAGATATAGAGCTACCATTAAAAACAACCTTATGTGTTGATGAGCTCTCCTTCCCTGCAAGATCAAATTAACCTGTGTTTTGATGACATCATGTGGTACGTTTCCCCATCCCTGCTCCTCTACTGGTGGAGTAAGATGCGGTGCAATGACAGCATGCAACATACAGAGTGTATTGATACTACAGAGAATTTAGCATATCCTTTATAGTTCCACCTGTAACTACCAAGCTAAAAACACATTGTTAGAACACTTAGGACCCCTCCAGATTCTGTGTGTGTGTGTGTGTGTGTGTGTGTGTACGGTATTATGCAACATGCCATTGATGCAATAATTGTGCAGATTTATCTACACACCATCCCACTTTATTAGTTGTTCCAAGATGCTTCCCCATTGCTAGCCCCTCCAGACAGCAAAAATGTGGCTCCTTGTGCTATAGCACAACAAAAGCGGTACCAAAAAAACCCAAAAAAATCCACCCAGAAGAAACATTTGTGGTACAAAAGGTGCCTGAAATACAGCCCAAAGCTGCAGGGCATGCACCAATTATATAGCCAACTTGATACAGTACCATCATAAGCACAAATCATCATACAAGCACAAATAAAGAGAATATTGAGGGGCCATTAATGCTGATAGTATATTTAGATATATTTTAGCCAAGAGCCATCGGGATCCATGATTCAAAATGCAAGTTGTTAGGCAATGCTTAAGCAAGAAAGTTATAGTCAATAGTTTATCTTAACAAAACTGAGTAAGATGCATTAAGCAAAATGCTATAATTCACCCTCACCCAGAAAACATTTCTCAGCCTGGATATGCTTCTGCCTCCCAGCCAATTTCTATTATGTAGTTTCTAACATCAAGTACCAGAATATATTCCCAGGCGCCTGAGCAAATTACCATTCTCTTCCTTAAACCAACTTTGTTTGCATTCCCTTGGCAGTTGCAAATGCAAACATGGTTGCTCCCTAGACTCTTTCTTTGGGTTTGCTGTTGTCCAGGATTTTTCCTGCCGGCTCTGCACAGCCCAAGTTCATACCTGCTCTCAGAGAGATAGATAGATAGATAGATGATAGACGTGTGTGTATACACACACACACACACACACACACACACACATACACATATATATACACACATACACACACACACACACACACACACACATATATTCAAGAGGTCAAGACACGAAGGCTTTAGCAACTAATCCACACCTAATGACCCACCTAAGTGGTACTCAGAATATCACTCAAGAAATCACTCAAGATATCCCTCAAGTAATTAAGGAACAAAAGAAGAAAAGGCACACTAGCCTGGGAACTTCCTCTCTGCCCAGAACATTGGAGGCTATACACCACACCCCCTCAACAGTATTTATAGGAACTCAAACACTGAGATCCTGCTCTGTTCCAGTAACAAGAAGCCGAAAGCACCAGCCTGAAGATGACGAGTGAGACCTCGTCGAAACGTCGCCTAGACACCCCAACTTTTACACGGGAAGACACCCGAGGACACCAAAACCTGCATATATATATATATATATATATATATATATATATATATATATATATATAAAATGTATATACACACACACACACACACATATATATATATATATATATATATATATATATATATATATATATATATAATGTATATTATATATACATATATGTATGTATATGTGTGTATTATAATAAATATACGCAAAAGCAATTCGTGCTCCAGGACTGACCCCACCGCACTCGAAATTAAAGTAACTAACTAACTAACTAAATAAATCATGGAGCCTCACTCGTCCCGTCCTCGCCGGCACATGCCATCAAATCGCGCATGCGCTCTCGGGCCAAAGGCTCGTCCCTTTAAACAGCCAGTTGGCGGGAAATGTTTTCGGCGACGCCTTTCCCGACTCCCCCGCTGCGCACGCGCGCCCTCGCTCCTCCCGCCGCCTCCTCCCGGCCGAGCGGGTCGCCATGGTGACGGGACGCGGAGCTGCGCTCCAGGCGGCCTCGAGCCCAGTCGGGCGTGGAGCCGGGACCGCTCGCGGCCATGACGGACATCCTGTGCGATTGGCTGAACAGAGAAGTGAAGCTCTCGCGGGCAGTGAGTGAGTGCGGGAGCCTCCTTGCAGGGCTAAGGCGGGCGGGCGGGCGAGGAAGCCCCGGGAGGTGAGGGGCTCCGGCTTCCCGCGTCCCTCTCAGGCGGGCAGGCGCTTCATTTCGGCTCGCCTGAGGGAACATCGCCCCCCCGTAAACCAGATTCCCCCCCCCAAAGAACCCTAGACGAGTGAAGACTTTTCTTCTTGCTCTTCTTCTTGTTGTTTAGCCCCTCGTGAGAGGAATGGCGCTTTGCACATGCTCAGGAGCACGGTTTTGCTGCTGATTCATTTGCTTCCCCCACAGACATTTCATAGAAGAAGGGGAGCCGCGCGGGTCATCTAGTCCGACCTGCTGCAATGCAGGAGTTTACAGCTAAACACGACATTAACGCCTTGCCTCCCTAATATAATGCCCAGTGTGGGGCTCGAACCCACAACCCTGAGGTGGGAGTCTCATGCGCTACCGGCTGAGCTACCCCTGGTTAATGTAGATTCTACTTATTTAACTGTTTGATGAAATCTGCGCGCCACTTGATTGTATGGGGTGGGGGGGGGTGGAAACCTCAAAGTGGTTTACAAGAGAGATAAAACAATAAAATTTCCAATAAAAAATTAGCAATTAGCAATAAAAAAAGGGGGGGGAATGGCAGCCACAATTAAAAAAACATGCAGAAAGTTAAAGCCGTAGTAGGATAGACTAAAATGAATTAAAACTCACACCAACTTTCTAAACATCTGGGTAGACTTGTATTAATAAAAATGCCTTTGGCAGGCAGCTAAAAGCTTACAGTACAGCGAAGGTGTCTGGTGTCAATAGGCAGGAAGTTACAAAGTTTCAGCACTGTCCCACTAAACCATTGCATTCTTACAGATGCGGTGTGGTATTTATATACCCAGGGCAGGTAGTAGAGTAGTAAGAAACAAACAAACAAATAAAAGTACTTCGGCAATGACAACAAAAGACTAATGCAACATACAAACAAGCAAATTTAAACAGCACGAGCCCATTCAAAACAGACAGTATGATCAAACTGCTTTACGTTTAAAGTGCTTGCATTAGTAGTTCTCATTTTTCCATCACTGAAAAATAGGTACCAGGAGGACTCAGCTTTCTGACTGCCTTTGCATGACAGAATTGCACAAGGAGCAGCTATTCTATTGGTGGAAATAACTTTCACCCAAGTAACAAAAAAGTTATTACTGATGTTAATAACTGTGCTAGAGTACCAATATGCCCCAGCAGGGTTGGTGGGAGTGGGCTGGGTTTAGCCAGGGGAGGCAGTAATATTAAGTGTCAATATTAATAACTAATACTAGCAAATAACCTGTATGGCACTTGGAGGGATTCCATGCAGCTTGGTTGACTTCCTTGATTTTGAAATTGGGGTCTTGAAACTCTGGGGATTTTGAAATGTTTTGTGGGCATTTGTATCAATTCTGGGAGTCTACAATGATCAGAGGAATTTGTTTTTTGATATGGTACATTTGGAATAAATTCAATGAAATCAAGGGAGACCAGGCTTTGGTTAAAAAATGAAACGACAGTAATACTTTATGGAGAGCAGTAAGAGTTGTAATATGTCAACAAGCAGCTTCTCCTAATCTGAAGTTGTAATGCCAGACGAGACATATAGAAGTTCCCTTGTTTCCATGTAACTATGATGCAGCCCAGGAAAGCCCCACTCCTGAATTGTACATTGGGTTGCATGAACAGAATGGCTGGTGTTTTCCACACCATAATGACTGTTTGCTCATACAGTATGTGCAAAAAGACATATCATGGTCTCAGTGTAGTTTTGTTAAAAGAACTAGAGACCCTATATAGCACTGTATTTGAGGGAGGGACTGTTTTCTAACCTAGGAATGGGTGGACCTTCAGCCCTCCAGATGTTGCTAGACTGCAATTCCCATCATCCCTGACCCTTGTCTGGGGTTGATGGGAATTGGACTCCAATAAATCTGGAGTGTCATGGGTTTCCTATCACTGCAAATAATACTATTAACAGGTCCATAGAAGGTTGTATCTGCTTTGGCTCATCTATCTCCCACTGCTCCCCCTCTTTGTTATCCATCCTCCTGCTTCCGTGGCAGAGCAGCAGGGTGGGACTATTAAACAGCAGGGGCTATTTCTTGTCTTGTTTCCTTGGACCTTTTCTCTAGGTTGGCAATCCTACACTCCTGAGCGGTCTGTTCAAAATAAAGAAGGCTGCCAACTCAAGTTATTTGGCTCAAGAACCTTTTGATTGACTTATTGGGCAGAAGATAGTTGGAAAAATATTATTTAGTTACCGTATTTTAGTGCAGCCTTACAAAAACTGTGGGTAGCAGGTGTGATCTTCTCTTTGCTCATACACAAAGGAATGCCTCTTCCCCTGAGAGCACCTGCTGTGACGCATGCAAGCATTATCAAAAAAGAAGTTGCAAATGTGTTTTCTTCTTCAGTTTGTTCATGTGCAAATCAATGCACTTCGGATTGATTGAATCAGTTCTAATTGATTCAAACTCATATTATTATTATTTTTTTAAAAAAGGTAGCAGCTTCCCAAATAACCTTGTGTTTTGTGACCTGTCTACTTTACATTACTACCTCCACATTTTTGGCAGTCCTAGGAAAGCAGTGGATGGTGTTCATTCTGAGTTACACAACACACCTCTAAAGCTCCCATGTGGCAATGATTTTCATCACGCGAGACTCTTCTGCAGTTTCAAGGGACACAAATCTGTCGAATTTCCTCAATTAATAAGGACTCTGGAGTACAGACAGTCCTTGTAGATATATGTTTATCCCGTTGTTCCTACTATTTGATCTACAAATGGCTTTCCTCCAGAGAAGAATATCATCCACACAGAGATGAAATGCCCCTAATGAGAGGCTGAACTACCAGATTCTAGAGCTCTTTAGGTTGTGGGAGAGGCGATTATAAACTCTCAAATTACCATTGTATCTCAAGGCTTCTTCATATTGCAAATTGGGGTTGTCTTACTCTTCCCAGAAGAAGAAGCATCTTGAAACACAGAGAATTTAAGAAATTATTACATTATTACATTATTAAAATTATTTTAAGTTAGAACTTAAAAGATGCAATAGAGAACTGCTGCTATTTTAATAATTTACTGTAGGTTGAAGCCAACTAAATAATACTCAAAGTAGACCCATTGAAATAATTGGATGTGACTTAAGTCAGTTGGCTTGAATGAGTACCGGTATATTTTATTTATTATTATTTATTAAATTTGTATACCACCCTTCATCTGAAGATCACAGGGTGGTTTACAACATAAAAATACAAAATGAGAACACAAAATACATAATAAAACAGAAACAAACCAATGAAACTCTTCCACAAACACATGCTGAATATTACTTAGTTGGGTGCAACTCTTCATTTTTAAAATTTGTTTCATTAGGGCCAATTCATGCATTAATGCTTCTAGAGCAGGCCTGCACAAGTGTCAGTAATCCCCAGTGCATATCTGTGCAATCTGTGGTACACCAAGTCAATGACCCATCAGGGGTTGATAACTACCCTATCCTTTATGCTGCCTGCCTGGGCCTGGAAAAAAAGGGGGAGTGTCATTGAGTGTTTCACAGGCCACAATGTGTGGTTAATAGACTTGGTGGGTCATGCAGGTACAGGCCTGATTTAGATGGCGGAAGCACCTTGGTGAGGTGGATCATGTGGTTTCATCCCATGCTAGCTGAAACCTGGTCTGAGAAAAGGCAATGTTGACTTCTCTGTGTAGATCAGAGGTGGGAAACCTGTGGCCTTCCAGGTGTTGTTGGACTCCAACTCTGATATGTCCCCTTCCAGCATGGTCAATGGTCGGGGAAGATGGTAGTTGTAGCTCAGCAACATATTGAGGGCCACCGGTTAGCCGCTTCTGATCTGGATGTTACTGCAACTGCATGGGAGGAAGTCGCAGGAAAGTTACTTGCACTTCACGGTGGTAAGATATGAATCAGCCCTTAGGTCTGAAAAAATGGGGAGAAAAAACATTTCCTTTTTCTCTTTACAAATAAACCAGAAATGGAGTCTTTTGCCAGCGAGTTTTCTTCAGGTTACCTCATCGGAGAACTTCTCAACAAGTTTGAACTCCAGGATGACTTTGCTCAGTTTTCGCAAAGCAGGTTAGTAGATGGTATATACACAACATCAGATGGTTAACATAGTAGGTTAAGTGGTGGCTCCGAGTCCTGGGATAGGGAGCTTAAGCAAGAAGCCCTCAGTAGGGGAATCCTACCTCCTTGCCTGTTGCCACTGATGATGCATTAGCTTACTCCCTCTGGGACCAATCTGCATCACTGCTCAATACAAGAGGGAGAGCCAGGGTTGTTGCTCCTCCACGTTCCTGCCTCTGCTTGCGTACTTGAAGATAGCTAGAGAGCAGGCAGTGGCAGAAAGGAGAAGGACCAGGAGGGCCAAGGGACCATGGATGTTTGACACAAGACTTAGACATCTGCCTGCCTGAATGCCAATGCCAGTCCAAATAGATTACGATGACAGCAGGTGTAAAACGCAGTGTGTGTCCCGCCCCCCCCAACTCAGCTTAGGAATACTGAAGGCATATGGAAATCTGCAGGTATGCATGGGTTAGTCCATCCCCCTTGATGACAGCATGTGCCTCCCAGCTGACATGTGATTGACTCAATCTCAAGGCCATCTATGCACATAGAGTTTCCAATTCTTGAGATGGGAAGGTATGCTGCTGCCATACACTTTAGTGTAGAGGTGGTGGGGCCAGCATATTTTTGCAGGCCCCTTCGTGCATTCAGAAACAAATGCCTGAATAGGGATATTGTTTATTGCTAAAAGGTGACTAATGATGTTTGGCCAACAGTCCTAGGCAACTACATTTCCCACTTGGAAAAGGAGAGGAAGGATGTAGCCGTGTTTACATATTTCATCCAGCACTTCCCCGTGTGCCTGCTATATATACTTGTTGAATGATGATTTCCATGCTCCCAAGAAAGCTTATCAAAACCCAGATAGATACGATAAGGAACTGGGATTGGTTCCACAGCTCAGTGAGTGCATGCTTCCCATCTAGAAGGTCCTGGGGTCCAACTCAGGTTTCTCTAGTTTAAAAACCTATTTAATGTGTCAGGGTTAGGCCACATCTCTGCCTTAGACCTTGGAGAATGGTGGCCAGAGTAATTAATGTTGGGGTAAGGCTGCAACCCTAATCCCACTTACCTGGGAGCAAGCCTCATTTGATTCAGTAGGACTTACTTCTGAGTAGACAAAATTGGATTGCCTTGTAAATGGACCAATAGTTTGATTCAGTACAAGGCAGTTTCATATGCTCAAAATCTTTAGGTTTCAAAATGTGGTCACCCAAACGTTTTAATCTGTTCCTAATGATAATTTTGTTTAGCAGTATCTCTCTATAAATGAACATGCTTATTGAAGAATGCTGGGCTTTGGGATCAGTTTTTGGGAAGATTTTCACATTTCAGAACCTTATATAATTGCAGAGTCTGTTTATGTTTCCAGGCTTGCCAGTGCGAAACTTAACAACTTTTCTCGCATGGAGCCCACCCTTCAACTCCTGGGCGTGCAGTTTGACCAGAATGTGGCCCGAAACATCATGACAGAGCAGCATGGAGCTGCCACCAAACTGATCTACCAATTGTATGTGGCTCTAGAGAAAAAGAAAAAAGCAGGACTCACTGGAGTTGCCATGGATGCAATGAGACCCTCAGCTCCCGCAAAGCTCAAGAGCGTGGGAACTGAAATGTATCGAGAGGTGAGCTTGTTGAGATAAGAACACCTTTCCCAATAGAGAAGCAGAACATCACATGTGACTATACCTGTTAGATATATACCTATGACATGAGAGATCAAAATAGAATTCCTGTAAACTAAATTTCTGTTTCGTCTACTGAATCTCTGTGTAAAGGATGCAGTGACTTAATTGATGGGAGTTGAAGTCCAGCACCACTTTCAAGACACATATTGGCTACCTCTGCTCTAGAGGTTACTCTAAATTCGCTTTCACCAAACTAATAGCCACTTTAAGAACTCTCTGATCTCTTTGCTTCGCAGTGTCCCAGCAGGTATCTGCATAGTTCCTTGCATTTTCAGTCTCAAAACAAATAGCTTTGGCCATTTGTTCCTGGTTTCTATCTTGGCAAGCTGAAACTGGGCAAAAGGCCCAGAAGGCTAAATACGGAGATCAGAGCTGTAAATCTTTCAGAACATATGTTCCATCCTCACACATACATCCTCACTCTGTATAAGCTGGCTGTACTACCATAAGGGCAAGAATAACTTTAAATTAGCTACATATTTCAGGCCAAATCTACACTGAGGTGGCTGGCATTCCTTTTCACTTGCAAACCTTTTCTTTGATTTAGTTTTGCTCAGGGTGGATTTGATTTAAATCATGATTTAAACCACTAGTCAGTAAGACTTGATTTAAAGCACTTTTTTTTTTTACAGAAAAGCATTGCTGCTGGTATAATCTTAATATTTACAACCAGATGAAGGTTTCATTTTTGGAATAATAAATTTTCAGAGTTGTTTATACAGTTATGTCAAAAATTACTGATTTGGTTATACCATTAGAAATACATAGATAATTATGAAATTATTGTGAGGTTTGGTAAGTTAACTGTTTATATTTGGACAACTTTTCTGCTGTACTTTATTGGAAGGAGAAAAAACTATCTTTAGAAAGATTTTTTTTCCTCCAAAAGCATTTTATTTTAAAATCCAATTTAAATTTAAAAAAAAATCAAAAAAATCTGATTTAAATAAAAAATGATTTTTTATTTTTATTTATTTATTTTTAAAGAAATCATTGGCTTTTATGCTCCCTGGTTTTGCTTCATGAGGTATTTAATTTATGTTGAGCTGGGCTGCTTCACTAAACAATAAATTAACAGATTCTTTTATCAGATTGATGGATAGTTGACAAAGCTTTCTGAAAGAATGTAGCCTTGAGCCAGCAAGGGAGAATTCATGTGTAGAAGCAGGCATTCATGCATGTGCCCCTCTCTGGAGCCATGTCCACAAATAGGTGTAGTGCTCAGGGTTTCTAATTTGATCCAGCAGCTTTAGGTGTGTGTGTAGCCTCAGCTAGTAGCTGAGCAGAAGCGCTGATCAGCAATCAGTGCTTACTTAACCACCCATTCCTGATCAATGCACCAACATTAATTGAATTCTCTAATCATTTGCTCAATAGCATCCCAGGGAAACAGATAAAAACTAGGATTGTAACTGAAGCAAATCAGTCTGTTGGTTGGTGTACAGTGCTTCATTGGAGGAATATTATAATCTTCATATAGCAAATGGTGATATGAGGAAATAGGAATAAAATAAATCAATGTAATGCAATATAGCAATGTAATACTTTTAGAAAAAATAGCTTTAAAATGTCCTAAGGCTTTGGCCACCTTCTAACTTCCTCTAGCCCAACTAGTTGTGAAATGGAATTTCTAAATTCTCTCACATATTCACATTTTGGAAGAGCTACTCATCCAGGCCTGCAGCTGGGCAAAAGCATGCAAAGCAGAGTTGAACAGGGAGCAAGCAGAGAGTGAAAATGATTCTGTGAAGCACCTTTTATATTGAACAGGAACTGTATCTGGAAGATGGAATTTCCCATCTTTTATATCAATTTAATTACTTTTGTAGGTGAGTTTACATAAAATGTCGATTGCGGATTACAATAATCTAAGCGTAACTGGAACCCTTACTTCGTCTCCACCTAGAGTATATGCGCCCTGATGCATTCCAGTGCTTGCTTTCCAAAACAGCCATGATTCCATGTATGTTTGGGCATCAAGGCTGTCGTCTTCTTCACATTCCTTAATGGCACATTATGCTGATGGCATGAAATTTACTTCTAATCATATCGTCATCCAAGATGTCAAAATCTCACACGACTGTCACTGAGAAGCAGCAAATATTTCCAAGCACAGTTAATTTTTTCCATTCCTGTCATCACCATGGCTGCCAGTTAAAAAAGAGTATGACTTAGCAGATTCGCTGATTTAGCAGAAATCAAAGGTGGTTGCCACCACCTTTAGTTCTGCAGATTACAAAGCACAGTGCTTCGACCATATTGGCTGGCAGTGGATGCTGTTAATTTGGACGTTGCTAGCTCTGCAAAACTATGAAGTACAGCAAATGGTATTAGGGATGGGGGAGAAATTTGACTCGATTCACATTTAAAGGTAAACCTACCCAGATCACACTTTCTTAAACAATGTGGAGATGCAGCCATCCTTTAAAAATTGCACTCCTCTGAATTTTTGCAGTACAGTTCTTAGGCAAAGTAATGTGTAAAAAAAATGCAGATTTTAGGGTAGAATGTGTATTAAAAATGCATATATTAACTGCACATACTAAAAGGTGTTATATGATGGAAAACGTGTACGTTTGGGAAAATTGCATACAAACATGCATATATTAGGAGAAATTCACACTAAGATGCTGGTGAATTTTCACAAGCTCCTCCCTTTTTTATTTTTAAAAAATGCAAACTGATGTGGAAATGTGGAGAACTGAAGTTTGGAAAAAGGAGAAACTGAAATCAATGGATTCACTCATCCCTGTAGCTGTGAGTTAAGGGACGCGGATGGTGCTGTGGGTTAAACCACAAAGCCTAGGACTTGCTGATCGGAAGGTCAGCGGTTTGAATCCCCACAATAGGGTGAGCTCCCGTTGTTCTGTGCCAGCTCCTGCCCACCTAGCAGTTCGAAAGCATGTCAAAGTGCAAGTAAATAAATAGGTACCACTCTGGCGGGAAGGTAAACGGCATTTCCGTGCGCTGCTCTGGTTCGCCAGAAGTGGCTTAGTCATGCTGGCCACATGACTCGAAAGCTGTACGCCGGCTCCCTCGGCCAATAAAGTGAGATGAGCGCCGCAACCCCAGAGTCGGCCACGACTGGACCTAATGGTCAGGGGTCCCTTTACCTTTTATCCAAAACTAGGCCAACGCGGGTGGCGCTGTGGGTTAAAGCCGATCGAAAGGTCGGCGGTTTGAATCCCCGCGGCGGGGTGCGCTCCCGTCGTTCGGTCCCAGCGCCTGCAAACCTAGCAGTTCGAAAGCACCTTCGGGTGCAAGTAGATAAATAGGGACCGCTTACCAGCGGGAAGGTAAACGGCATTCCGTGTGCTGCGCTGGCTCGCCAGATGCAGCTTGTCACGCTGGCCACGTGACCCGGAAGTGTCTGCGGACAGCGCTGGCTCCCGGCCTATAGAGTGAGATGAGTGCACAACCCTAGAGTCTGGCAAGACTGGCCCATACGGGCAGGGGTACCTTTACCTTTACCTAGGCCAAGATAAACTATGTTTCAGACATGTAAAAAGCTGTCCTAATTTGACCAGGGCTCAGAGGTAGAGCATTTGCTTTGCATGTAATTCAGGCCCTGGTATCTCTAGTTAAAAGAAGCTGGCAGGAGGGGATGTGAAGAACTTTTCTTTGCCTGAGAACTTAGAGATCTGCTGCCAGTCAGAGTAGGCAATGCTTGGTTAGATGGAGAAAAAGTTCTGTCTAAGTATAAGGAGTTTACTATGACTCAATGCGGTATATAAAGATTTCTTCAAATCTTTTGGAAAATCTTCTCATTTTAGCGCCTTAAATGTCTAGTGCCGCGTCAGGTAGACTTGACACTGCAGCAGATTTCAGACAACTTTCACAGCAAAGCCAAGGACCTCGAAAGTCAGATAGCTCGGATGCAGTTTGTGGAGCAACAGCAAGCAAAGAAAATTCAGGCCGAAAAAATCGTTGAACAATTTGAAAATGTGAGAAGCCTATTTAATTTTTTTTATTTATAAAAACCTCAGAGCTGCAGGAAATGTTTGCGCATTATTTTATGCTTAAGCCTATGAATTTTCCCACCAGCTGCATCAAACACAGTGGGAATTATTTCTAAGTAAATGAAGTTTGTGTTGTATGTATAATAGAAAGCTAATGGAAATAAATTGTAGTGTTTTCATTTAATTCAGCTAGAATTGTTTCCGTTTGCCCCACAAAACCTGTAGTATAGCACTGAATCAGAGCAAACAGCAATTGGGTTTTTGGAGGATTGCAGTTTGTTCCGAATTAGCATTAAAGAGTGGGTTTTCTGGGGGGAAGTAGTGGGGTAAAGGCAAAACCAATTGGGCTCGTGCCTAGAAAGCACAGGATAATCATAAAACCTCTTGGACCCATGCTTTCCAGGCACAGGACAAGTAAAAGTGCGGACAATCCCTTAGTTTCATTTGTATATCGCTGAAGGTGATGGTGGAGTGTCATTCCGGTGCTTGGGGGTGGGATTCAGGTTGCTTTTGAAGTATATGAATCCTAGACTACAGGGGGCTTTAATAGCAAGCACCAGTGCCTTGCATTTAGCCTGGCAGCAAATTGGCAACTAATGCAGTTCTTGCAAAGCTGGCTGAATAGGTTATTGTCTCCCAATAGGAGGGACACAAGCTGTAGCATGCAACACTGTTAACTTCCATTTTGCCTTCAAGAGCAGTCTCGTGCAGAACATATTAAAGCAACTGACTCCAGAACAGGGGTGGGCAAACCTTTTTCCACCCAAGGCCAACATTTCCTGGATAAATTTGCACTAAATCTTCTCGGGCAGCACGGTTGGCAGTCGGCTGTAGGGAGACTTCAGTAGGAGATGCAAGAATGTGTTCTGTTGCCATTTTTGCACAAGGAAGCAAAATGTTTATACAGTGGTGCCCCGCAAGACAATGGCCTCGCAAGAACACGAAAACCCACTAGACCGGAAGCGGTTTTCCATTTTTGAGTTGCTTCGCAAGACCGGAGTTTTTCCCTATGTGCTTGCTTCGCAAGCGAAAACGTCTTGCGGTCTTGCGATTTTTTTCCGCTCCCCCCTTTTCTAAGCCGCTAAGCCGCTAATAGCCTTGTTAGGCCGCTAAGCCGCTAAGCCTTTAATAGCCGCTAATATGCGCTATATCCGTCAATCCTCTAATAGGTTTTCAAGACGAAAAAATTCGCTAGACGAAGTGACTCGCGGAACGGATTATTTTCGTCTTGCGAGGCACCACTGTACTGAATTCCATTGCATTGCATTTTTGTTTTGAAATCCAGTTATGTTCCTCAGCAATTGATCATATGGAACAACTGATTGCCCTGAGTGGGGATATGCATCTCTTTGGACGCCAAAAGACACATTCAGTCAGTTTAATGGGGCACAAATGACCAGTGGGGTGAAGATACCTATCTGCAGTGGTTGCGAGTATGGAAATTCTTCTTCCTGAATTTGGGTATTTTTTTAATCTTTGGTCAAATACCATTTTGCCCCCACTTTTCAAGATTTGCACATCCATGCAAAAACCCTTTACCCATTCACATTTTATTTGAATCATTTACTTAACAATATGCCTCAATAACAGTTTGATCTAGGGCGTCAACATTTGGAATAAGACACCAGTCCAAAGCAATTGGGTTTAGGCTTACAGTCGCTCCACCCCTCCTACTTTGAACACTGGGAGGGGAGGTTATTTCCAATGCAACACTTCACGATTCCTGAAATAGGTTTTAGCCTGAAGCTTGACTCTGAACATAAGAAAATGAATCCTGCTGTGATAAATCATGTTATTTAGCTGCAGTTTCTATGGGAAATTTAAAAAGGCGTTTTTATAAATAACAATTTTTCAAACTTATGCTGAGTCACACTTCCAGTGCACTTGCATGAGGTGGCAGACTACTTTTCAGTTACATATTCATTATAGCTGTTCAGCTTGTTACTCTGTGATTATTAAAGTAAATAGGACTGGCACCAGGGTTTTGAGGGGGCATGTGCCAAAGTGCTAGCTTGTGGGGCCCCCTGTGTAGGTATAGCTGCCATTATTATGGGCAGCTTAGAGCCACCATTTTCAGTTTTCTCCAAGCTGTCTCACCCGAGGAGTACAGAGTAGCTGTCGGCTAACGGTGGGCCCTGTGTTAAGACTAGGAACTCACTGGGGCACTCAGACCCTGGTGATTGCCTGAAGATGCTGCATACTGCCACCAAGTGTGAAAACCATGTAGGTTGTGAGGAACGTGCCATCCCACATCCAGCAGCAAGTTCCTCCTTGTGACATGGTAGGATGTCCTATCGCAGTCTGGGTAGCACTTGACAAACAGGAGGCAGGGCTCTCTACTCTGTGGCCAATCATTTGCTTTCAGAGAAGCCACCCCTGGGCATTCTCATAAGTAGAACATCTGCTTTGCATTCAGAAGGTCCAAGGTTCCGTTCCCAGCATCTCCAGGTAGGGCTGGGAGAGACTCCTGCCCGAAACCCTAGAGAGCCACTGCCAGTCAGTACAGACAGTACTGAGCTAGATAGACCAGTGGTCTGATTCCATATAAGGGAGTTTCCTATGTTCTTATGTAACAAATAGGGACGTGGGTGGCGCTGTGGTCTAAACCACTGAGCCTCTTGGGCTTGCCGATCAGAAGGTCAGCGGTTTGAATCTCCGTGATGGGGTAAGCTCCTGTTGCTCTGTCCCAGCTCCTGCTAACCTAGCAGTTTGAAAGCACACCAGTGCAAGCAGATAAATAGGTACTGCTGTGGTGGGAAGGTAAACACCGTTTCTGTGTGCTCTGGTTTCCATCGTGTTGTTCCGTTGCACCAGAAGTGGTTTAGTTATGCTGGCCACATGACCCAGAAAGCTGTCTGCAGACAAATGCTGGCTCCCTCAGCCTGAAAGTGAGATGAACGTCACAACCCCATAGTCGCCTTTGTCTGGACTTAACCGTCCAGGGGTCCAACATGTAACAATGCCGAACGGTAAGAAATGGTGAACTTATTTGAGATGCTGTTTATAGTGATTACAAGCCCTTTAACTTCTCATAATATCTCATTTTCTTTTTGCTTTGTTTTTTTTAAAAACAAAAAAGCTCCCATTATTTACTCCTCCCAATTTTGTAATATGTTTGTGACCTTTGTGTGGGCAGAAAGTGACTCGAAAATGATGGCGTTTTGTGGGTAATTAATACTTAACAGTCAGTAGCCAGTTTTAAATAGCTCATTACCTTCTCATTGGATATTTAGAAAATGGTAGAAAATCGAAGGCAGCATGAAATAATGGCTAAAATTCAAGCAGCAATTATCCAGATTCCCAAACCAGTACTGCAGCGCCCCGTCAAGGCAATTGAAGACCAAAAGATTATGAGAAGGAGGAAGGAAGCAGAGGTACGTTCTGAACTTTTAGAACTGGAAATTTAAAAATCATAGGCAGTGGAATGCACTAAGTATTCATTGCATTGGCACTGCATCCCAAATGCCTCCACTTGGAAACAAAGTCTGCTTAATGTGATTCGGGGGGGGGGAGTGTTTTTAGAATTATCAGTTATGTATCTATGGAATTAATCATCCATTGTGTATCATGATGTTTGAAGAATGTGTGCATGTCTGTGTAAGTGGAATTCTGGTAGAATAGCTCTTGGGAAGGGGCTTGGGGACCCTGGCAGGTTAGCTGTGAAGGTGTGTGGCCTTTGAGCTGAAGAAGATGCCTCCCCTGTGTTGCAGGGTATTGAACAAAAGTAAGGAGATTCAGATGTGCCTGCTTGTTTTTCAGATCACCTATGCAGAAATTAAGAAGTTTGAAAAGCAGATGAAGAAAGAGAGTGGCATGCCTACCAGGCTCACTGAGAGGTAATGTTTGGAACAAGTGACTTCTCGGTAGACTTGCTGTTCCACGTGGAAACTGAAGCAAGTGAGGGTCTCCCAGTCTTGAAGCTGCCAGTCACCTGGTTAATAAGCATTCTTTCTAGGCAAATAGCTTGTCATGCAGATGGGCAGATAAAATGTGTTGGAAGTTACTGCACTGACATTAAATTCTGCTTGCTGGAAACATTGCCTTCTTCGTTTTAATTTTTTGTTGGAAGTACTTTATATTGACTTGTGGTTTATTATACAAATGCTATTGGAGTGATATATACAGTTTAAGAATCTTGGTATATATTTCCACTCCACAGTATCTTGGGGTTCCTAAAGCAATTGTAGGACTTCAAATGAAAACCTTTCTGTCCACTTTCTACATCCCAGATATCCTGCTATACCCCTTACTTGCCTTTTTTGTAAATTAAACCTTCCAATTACTGTTTTCTTTCTCATAGGGGAGTTGTTCTAGTTCATGATAATTTTGGTTGCCATTTTCTGAACCTTTTCCAGCTCAACAATATTCTTTTTTGAGGTGTGTTGACCAGAACTGTATTCCAAGTGCACTAACTATAATTGGCAGTATTATTTTCAGTTCCTTTCCTAATGATCACCGATGTGGAATTTGCATCTTTCACAGCTGCCACACGCTGGTTCATCATTTTCAATTACCATTTTCAGCATGATCCCAATATTTCCTTCGTGGCCAGTCTCTCACCAGTTCAGACCCGATTAGGATATATGTGAAGTTAGTACCGTTTGTCCCAATGTACATCACATTACACTTGCCTACAGTGATTTGCATTTGGCATTTTACTGACCATTCACCCAGTTTGGAGAGAACCTTCTCGAGCTCTCTGCAATCCTTTTCTGTTCTTGTCACCCTGAGCAATGTATTATTATGAACAAAGTTAGTCGCTTAATTGCTCACCCCTTACTCCAGAGACCAGTACTGAACACTGAGAGACCTCAGCTGTTACATTCTTCCAATGTGAGAACCTGCTCTCTAATTCCTGTTATTTAAGCATTTACTGATCCATAAGACGACCTGTCCTTTTATCCCATGACTATTAAACTTACTCAGGAGTCTTTGGCCATAGAATTTATCAAAAGCTTTCTGAAAGTCTTATTATACCATGTGTGCTCCATTGGACCACTCCATCCACTTTCATTGCCTAATCCTAACGCTCCCTTTCATTTGGAAGTCTGAACCATTTTCAGTATCATCCCTTAGTGATGATTTATCCTGAACTTCAACAGTAAATGCCTTTCCCCCGAAGATACTTTTTAAAAAGCTGTTCTGCCAATAGATTTTATGCACCAGCAGTTCAGGTTCTATACAGGTTCAATCAAGTGCAGCAAGTGGATGATAGGGGAGCTATGCTAATCTTCTTTTTTATATACTGCCCTTCGGTCATATTCCCAGGACAATTTCCAAAAAGAATGAAACAATTAAAATTAAAATTCAAAAAAATAACTGAATCATCTATAAGAGCCACAAACTGTATGAAACAATCAAAGAGCTAAATACCCTCTCTTCCCTCCATCACCTACCCACCCACTTCCAATCTGAATTTTGTGCCCTCACCCCTAGCACCCAGCACATCCCCTACATATTAAACAAAAAACCAAGCATGTAAAGGCCAGGCACATGATTAGCATTGCATCTAGTTTCACACTTGAGCACCATGGGACAGCAGCTGCCTCCTTTTTGTTGAATGTTATGCTTTTAGCACTTTCGAAAGGGTGGTAGGGAAGTAAAATGGAGAGAGCCCAGGCTCCCAGTGTTGGGATACTGCCAGGGAGACGGGGGCTTCAGGCAGGCCCCCAGCTGGCTCCAGCCACCGGCCGGCAGCCGGGCAATCACCGGTTCCTGGAACAGCATCAATCAATCAGTGACTCAAGCCTCAGTAGCCTTCTGAAGCTACCAAGCACGCTAATTAGCAATACAAAACCAATATACAAAATGGAAGTTCCCAGCAGACTGTGTTGGAAGTAAACAGGCATGTGACACACAACAGTCATGCCTTTACCTTTTAAGGTGGAATGGAACTATGTCCTAACACCCAGAACTTTAAAGTCCTAAAGACTTTGGAGGAAGATAGAAGCATGTAAGTAAAAAACAGATGCTTCTCCTTTCTTTAAACAGTTTCTGCCACTATCGCAAAGTGGTTGCGGCATTCCTATAGGTCTCCTGGGTCTTCTCACCTCAAAGTACCTCCCCTCTGAAGAAGGGCACCACATCTGTGACATAGAACCCGTACTCAGAGCAATGCATCATGGGGGCAAGATGGCCCTGGAGAGCCATAGGAGGCTGAAGCTGCAAAAGTGGAGAGGTGCTTCCTGAAATGCTCTGATTCCACACACAAACACCATGTAACTCTATAAAACTCTGTGCAAGGATTGACAGCACTGTGAAAATCATTGACAATAGTCACAACATTTGATGAGACAGATTGGTGGCAGTTCCTTTGTGCCTTATATAGATATTTATATAACACTTGATGCCCCCAATTATTATTTTAGCATGGTGCATTCGACAGTGCCTTCACAGGAACTGGATACAACTCCAGCCATCACTGACCTGTTGAACACCTACTCAGATGATGAATATATCAGGAAAATTCAGAAACGTCTTGAGGAGGATACCTTTGCCCGCGAACAACGGGAGAAAAGACGACGGAAGATGTTAAGGGAGCAACTAATAGCTCATGAAGCACAAGAAGTGAGTTAGGTGTACTGCCTTCTAGATTTTTGGGTTACACACTGACAAAGTGGCAGCAAGTTATCAGTTTGTGCTAAGATACACAACTACATAGTGAGGCCCATTAGTGGAGGGAAATCTGTAGTTGGGCATTTTCAGGAACTGACAGGACACTGACAAGTGTGCACCGGAAAAGGGGGCTGGAGTCTGACTTGGGAGTGGGGATCAATGATTTGCGGGGAACTGTACCAGCCAAGAGGCAAGAGTTGGAAGGAGGGAAAGCTTCAGAGCTGCAGGGTGGAGCACAGGATGCATCAGAAGAGAAGGGAGAGGCAGGCCAGGCAAGTGAAGGGCCAGGTGCTTCCCCACCCTCTCCTGCTCCACTGTCTCCCAGAACCAGGAGGGGATTGAAAAGGGATGAGCAGAGGAAGGTTGCACACAGGCATAGTCTCTGGCTGCTTGTGCGCAGCCTGTCGGGGGAAGATACATAAGCTGGTGGATGGGGACTGGCCCCCTGTTGCTGCAACTGCTCCATAGAGCGCAAACCTGGGAATAGTGTGTGTAAGCATCCAGAGCTGTAGAAGCAACGCTATATTTGACAATAAAGAGTTAACTACCTGCTGTGTGTATTCCTTTGGCTGGGAAGCATCCTTGACAGCCATAGTTTTTATGGAGTCCAACCAAAAGTGCAAACAAGCCTTCTTGTTCTTCAGAGCTCCTCATCAGGCTTGATGTTAAGCAAAATGGTAGCAAGAAAAAGCTGACACGACACTGAAAGTTCAAAGGGCAGCAGTTGTAGCAGTTTTCAGACTACATGCAGGGGCTCCTGCTTAGCACTTAGCAGGGGGTAATCTAATGTGCAGTGCATGATTACTTGGAAGCAGGTCCCACTCAGTTCAATTGAGTTTACCATGGCCCTACCATGGATTTTCAGTTTGTTCTTTTGCTTTTTTCATACATAGCAAGGGGTGGAAGTAGTTAAGCATACTATCGTAGGTTGTCTTTTAATTTTATTTCAGGAGGCATATAGAGAAGAGCAGCTCATCAACCGGCTAATGAGACAATCCCAGCAAGAGCGGAGGATCGCTGTGCAACTGCTGCACGTGCGGCACGAGAAAGAAGTGATGTGGCAGAACAGGATTTACAGAGAAAAGCAGTTTGAAGAGAGACGGCTCAAAGAATTCCAAGAAGCTCTTGATAGAGAGGAGGTAAACATTCATTATTTTCTCTTCCATCGTCATCTTCTTTTTTAAAAAAAGAAAGCTCTTGGTCTGTCTTGTCTCTTACATTCGCAATTGCATTTATTCCGACTTGAATTTGCCTTCAAGCTGCTTTGGAGGTATATGGTTAAAGGGCTCCAACTTGTTGCCAAAGAAACCCATGTAATCAGCAGAATAGAAGGACACAGAAAATGGCTGAATCTTAGTGTTTGGTGGAAGCAGAAGGTTATCAACTCCTCCAATATACCAGTTTCCCTTAGGCCAGGAAGCAACTTTGTAAGCCTGGCCAGAACATTATTTTCTTAGCCTACTGCCAGAATTAGAGGATGCAAGGCCAGAACAAAATAATAATAATAATAATAATAATAATAATAATAATAATAATAATAATAATACAGCAAAGCCTTTTATTTATCTTTTTGACGAGCATGAGCTGTTATAGCATATATGCATACTAAGTGCTGAGAATGGTGTGCATTGTGGATGTGAATGCATTCATCTTGTGCTGCCAGGTGGAGCTTTGTCCCATGTAGGGGTTACGGCTAATTTACAGAGTGCACATAGCAGTGCTATGTTTGTATGTGTTGGCTTCTAGTCATCACCGTGCAGGCAAACAAACAGCCCAGGCTTCTCCCTGAGCTCCCTATTGGCTTGCTCCTCCCCTTTTCCCTAACAGTAATTAGCAGCATTGTGCAGTGTTGGGAAAACAGGTCAGCAAACCAGCCCCGCTATGCTAGTCACTAATGCACCACACCACTCTTGGCCATCTCACAGTGATAAAGTAAGCTCAAACCCACAGCCACTAAAATTCTGCAGCACTCCTCTAATCAGGCATTAAGAGAGGAAATGTTTGCAGTGGAAGGAAGTCACGTGAGATCACATGGATTTTGGACTGTGGCCAGGGATCATGAAATTTGGATGACATTCTTCTTACTTTTTTTGTCCAACTCCTTTTAGGCTCTTGCAAAGCAAGAGAAAATTGAGCAGGAGGAACAGGCCCTGAAAGAAAAACAGCTGCATGCAATGCTTGCTGCCAAAAGAGCTGAAGATCGCTATAAGAAGCACTATTCAATTTGTTGGGAAGTGGTTGAGCAAATCATTGACTTATCAACTAAAATAGGAGAATATCGAACGCTGACAAACAAGTAAGTTGTTTTATTCTGGCAGGACTTGGCTTGGTTTACCCCCACTGAACTGGGGAAAGTAAATGTTCAACACTCATTCCAAAGCTGCAGAAATAGATTGTTCTTCATTAGGAGCCCCAAGAGTTTGGACAGTAAAGCAGCCAAGACGCCACAAGCAGAACAATCTGCAACCAAGTCCAAACACTTACTGATTCAGGATGGGTGGCCCTCCAGATCCTTTTGGACTTCATCTCCCATCATCCCTCACCATTGGCCAAGCTGACTGGGGCAGATGGGAGTTGGAGTCCAGCAACATCTGGAGGGCTACAGATTCTCCATCATTGACCTAGGTGATATCATTAGTCATTTAATTTTTAAAAAAGAAAAAAAATCCTGTGCATTTAATTATGTAAGAAACCAGTATATTTGTAACTTTGTGATTTGCTCTTTCTTTGTTATGCAGTTCATGTTTCTCATAATAGTTTGGATGTAAAGAGAAAGCCATTTTGCAAGTTTATCTCCTATTAATTAATTTATTTAAAAAATGTACATATCACAGAGGTTTACCGCAAACATACATTGAACCGTGCAATAAAAACCATATGCACATTTTAAAATCAGCTTTTGCAGAAGGTTAGTATGTTCATTGTCAGTGTAAGAATGGCAGCATAGGAAAGTTTTCAACAGGTGCTTTAAAGTTTAAACAGAAGGTCCCTGCTGAAACTTTATTGGCAGAGTCTTCCAGAAGACTAGGCCAATGACACTAGAGGCTCAGTTTCTTGTTGCTGTCAAATGAGTCTCGCCAATTTGGGGGACATTGAATGACGCTCCCGCAGATGATCTCAGTGATCAAGGTGGGATATAATGGTACATGCAGTCTGTAAGAGACCCTAAGTTGTTCAGGGCTTAAATTAATTAAAAATCCTTAATGCAAGTCGTTGAATCTTGCTTGGCCTCAGTTGGGCCAGTGCAGATGTTTTCTACAATGGTGTCTCATGTTGTCAGCCATGTTCCCCCATCAGCACTTTTGCTTCTTCATTCCGCACCAACCAGAGCTTCCAAACCAGGCCCAAGGGCAGCCCCACATAGAGCCTTTTTGTAGTAATCCAGCCTCTAGGTTATCAGCACATGAGCTACTCCTTTCTAGGAACTGGCAAACCAGACAGAAGTGGTAAGAAGCATTCCTAGCCACAGAGAACACTTGGGTTTAGTTTATCATAACATCTGAACCTGGGCTTGTGGTTTGTCTTGCTCCAGACAAACCATGAGCTACAGTCAAGGTTTGTTCTTGGCTTGCTGCCACTCATGGTTTGTCCGTGAAAGGCAGACCATGAGCCCTAGATTCACATGTAATGCTAAGCCAAAGCATGGCTCAGCTCCAGGAAGCATTGGCAGCAGGAAAACTAAAGGAGGAGTGAAGTGTGTCAATGCATGCCTATGCTTACTCACTTTGGCTTGGTGATACATGGGAACCACGTTGAATTCTGTTCTTTTCAGAGTACAGTGGTACCTCAAGTTACATACGCTTCAGGTTACATACGCTTCAGGTTACAGACTCCACTAACCCAGAAATAGTGCCTCGGGTTAAGAACTTTGCTTCAGGATGAGAATAGAAATTGCGCGGTGGCGGCAGCGGGAGGCCCTATTAGCTAAAGTGGTGCTTCAGGTTAAGAACAGTTTCAGGTTAAGAACGGACCTCCGGAACGAATTAAGTACTTAACCCGAGGTACCACTGTAGTTCATGTTTTAATTTATTCTTTCTTTGGGTTGCCTATTTGATGTTGCTATTGATCCATGTAATTCTTAGAAAACATGCTTTGATCGATCTAACCACAGATTTATTAATATATATATGTATATATTTGCTTGATTTCCTCAGCTTAATCCCAATAAAGCTGATGCGTGACTGGAAAGAGCTGTTCTTAAAAGGAAAACCGATTTATGAGCAAGCTGAGATTGAAATACCTTTGCCAGATGAACCAACTCCAGGACAATTAGTAGAACTGGACAAAATGAATTTACTAGATGAAAAAGATTATGATGAATATAAGGTACTCCCAACTGACATGGCCTAGTGGAAGAAAATGCAGCTCAGTTAAAATCATTGCTCATGACTGCCACCTTTTGTCCATGATGCTGCATAGATTTCATATAGTAGTTTATATTAGTTTAGCCCACGTAGTGAAATGTACTAAATAATCTGTCTTTCTGGGACTAGGCGATACTTTGAATTGTTGCCATTTTGGAAGGCTGTGCTGTCATCAACTGTTTTGCTGTTTGACACACAAATGCAGTAACCTCAATATGCAGGATCACCACACATTTGTGAGAAGTGAGTTATTATAGCTGTTATTTCAGCAGAAGTCAAACTGTAGTACATTCCACTGTGCTAGAAAATGTAACATAAAGGAGTCCACAAAATCTAATGTGAAATAAACGCCACGTCTGTCACAGAATGAGTAGTCTTATTTCATGCAACAGAATTGGTATCTGATAAAAAGGTGGATTAGTTTTTTCTAGTCAGATTCCTGGTATTTTGAGATCAGCTTATTTCAATATCATTACTTTTTATATAAGGCAATTCTGAGAAAGAGCTTTTATCATTATCATCTCCATGCAGGAATCTTAAGAAGAGAAATTATAGCTAAGTACATAATGTTTATTTCTCTCCTTGGTTTCAAAAGCGGACTATGATTATATAATTGAACTCTGAATATATGTATCTTATGATACAATTTTTTTCAAAATACAGTCACTCTCCAAATGCCATTGTTATCAATTTGGCTGCATTGAGGGAGAAAATAACCTTTTTTTCTGGGTTTGGATCTACTAGCTTATTTGAGTCTATGCAGTACCATCTTTGCAAATAGTCTTTGTGTGTAATAGAGTTTTTTTTAAAATCTTGTTTGGGAAACTAATACCACATTTATACGTTCTCTTTGTGCCCACATCCTGAACCAATTTATTTTGGTACATTTTATTTTCTACTAAGTAGTAAGTCTTCATTAGGAGTTTGTGTGGTGGCTGCCTCAACAACACAAAGCATGTTAGTTCTTTTTTTTTAGGTTTTAACACCTGTAAGTGAAAGTTGTTGTTCATAATAGGTTGTATATTTGAACAGGGATTTCCTTTGAAGAACAAAGACTGTTCTCTTCACTTAACATCAACACCACAGTAGTGTTGGCTATCATTAAATTGACCCACAGAATATTTTCAATGTGTTTGGCTTGTAGATTTAAGCTCATTCTTTATGATACCAGAACACTATGGTCATAGAATCATAAGGTGGCAATTGAGCTAAGTTTTACTCATAGCAGACCCATTGAAATTACTGAACACAACTAAGTTCAGCCTAATCAGTCTACTTTGAGTAAAACTTAGTTGAATACTACCCATAGAGTTGGGCTAGAGACCAAGCCCCTTATTGGTGCAAGAAACCCCAGGGTTTGAGCATCCTCAACAATCTCTGCTTAAAGATCTCCAGTGGGGGAGAGCCAACCACCCCTCTAGATAGCTGGTTCCACTGTGAAACCTCTCTTGTATTCAAAGATGTTTCTCCAAGTGTCTATTGAGGGAGAGATGGGGAACCTGTGGCCCTCTTGGTGTTGTTTGACTACAACTACCATCATCCCTGGCTATTGGCCAAACCGTCTGGGGCTGATGGAAGTTGAAGTCCAACAACTCTTCCTGTAAGTGGAGAAGGACTGCAGCTCATTGGAAGAGTTCGTGCTTTGCATGGCAAAGGTTCTAGATTCCACCTCTGGCATCTCCGGGTGGGGAAGACTCCAGTCTGAAGTCACAGAGAACTGCTGCTCCTTAACACAGAAAATTCTAAGTTACACTGGGTCAATAACTTAGCTTTTGTCCTGTTGTACAGCTGTGCTGTGCATCACAGAATGTGTTTATAGCCCTTATCAAATAGAGTGTTCTGCTGAAATAAAAGTGTGGTTTTGTGCCATGTGTAATCTTGATACCACAGACTCTATGCTTAAAAATAGAGTTGTGGAGCCAAATTTTAGTGACCAAATCTGAAGAAGAAAGACTGCAAGAGACACACAGACCTGGTGCCTAATTAATCTGCAGTTTTAAAAGAAAAAAAATATGGTCTTAAATTGCTATTTAAACTTGTTATTTTTTTAGTGCTGCTATTTTAGTTTTTGCTGTGCTTTAAATTTTGTATTCAGTTACAACTTTTTCTCCAAAAGCAGTTTCATAATGTAACATAAGAGAAGCCCTGCTGGATGGATCAAACCAAAGGCCCAGTTAGCATTCTGTTTCCATAGTGGACAACCAGAATTTCTGCAGGAAGCACACACTGGATATGCCTGCAAGAGCAATTTCCTATTTATCTTCCCCAGCAACTAGTTTCTACAGGCCTACTGCCCCGATTTGTTATTTTGCTTAAGCTCCTAAACTGCAGGATGACCCTGATGGCTGTGTTATTTTTTGCTGTCTTTATGCAGAGTTATTTCACTAAGCTGTATATAAATCTCATTTTACATAGTCAGGCCAGTGGTCCATTTAGTCTACAGTTAAGGGTAGCATATTGGACACAGACCAGCTGTCACCTCCAACACAGCTCTTGACTTTTTCTCTCCACCTCATCACCCTAGAACTTGGAATGCTGTAGATCAGGGATGGGAAACCTTGGCCCTCCAGATGTTGGTGGGTCTACAACTACTATCTCTGTCCATTGGCCATGCTTTCTGGTACTGATGAGAGATGGAGTCCAGCAACATCTGGAAGCTCACACGTTCCCCATATGTAGTTCAGTCTTGGAGCTCTTATGCACTTTATGGCAGCTCTGCTATCCTTTTTATTGATTCTTTGTTTCCAAGGTAGATGTGCTTGTTCCATTCTTTCAGCTTGGGCAGCTGCTCTGAATGGAAATACCTCCTTTTTTAGAATTTTGGGGGAGTTCCATTCATTGCCCTTGAGACATGCAAACTCCACAGTGACAGGGCACAGTCAACAATGTCTCATTGCCTCTTTGTATGACAGATGCAAGTAGGTATGGACTGCTCTCCAGTTGTAGAGTTTCATGAAAGCGTGTGATCTGGACATGGGGAGAACCCATTCCACATTATAGCATATTTCACCTCTGAAGTACTGGTTCCCATGCTTCCAGTTGTGTACTTAGGCACAAACTGGGAGCAGAGGAGATGTCCTATGAAAACACACCCTTGTCTGCCTCCCCCAGATGCTCCTTTCCATCATCCTCTGTCTCCAGTAGCTCTTCTCCTTCCCTGGTCTCAGCCGAGGAGACAAGCGGTGAGTTCACTTATCTAAAACCTTGCCTTGAATTGCTTTGAGAAAGTAAATGGCTTTCTCAGGTTATGATAAGGCAAGCTACAACTCTGATGTGTGCCGAAGAAGAAACCACAGAGTTGTACAATATGGACAAGATAATGGCCCAGTGTGGAAGATCTCCATGTCATCTCAACCAGGAAACGGTGACTCAGTGCTGGTTGATATGCTTCTCCACACACTCTTCCTCCTTCTCCGGCTGTTGTGCACCAGCTTTGCCACAAAGATCCTGGCTTGTATTCAGCCAAAGTTCCCAGTTACATCCAAACCTGGGATTATGGCATAACGTAGGCTAACAGCCAAGAAAATAGGGTGTTACTTTGATTTGTTAACTGACATTAAGGTAGAGTTTCCCAGTTGAGATGCATTCTGGCTTAATACAAGCCAGGTTTTTAGACCAACATCAGCACACAGTGAGGGGAAGTAGGCTATGAAGAGGACTCTCTTTCCTCATACTCCCCCCTCTTCTTTCCATATACTCAAAGTCAAATAGTTATTCCTGTTTTGGGTAAAATACAGTTTGCCTTTTCTTTAGAACCAGCAAACTATGGTTTTAAATTTGCCTATCAAATCACTATTAGAAACTATAGTTTGAAGCTGGTTTCCAATCCTGGCTTGAAGGGAAAGCACAACATTATAGTTTGTTGTTTTAGGCAAACAATGGTTTGGAGAATCAGAAATGTTATGGATGAACTGGTTGGGCATGAAAACTGAAAGTGGGACCTAAACTGTGTATACAGTTTAGTAAAATAACCCTTCTAAGGGAACTGAAAAGCAAGATACTGTCAACATGTGTCTTGATGTTATGGTAGAGAGCTCACCCTCCATGTCTCCCCCTCCATTTCCAGAGGGGTGGCCATATTAGTCTGTTCCAGGGGGGAAAGTAACAATTATTATAGCATAAGCTATCATGGTTGAGATGGCCAACATGGTGCTCTCCAGATATTATTAAAGCCAACTTTAATCTGCCTAGATATTGTGGCCAATGGTCAGGGATGATGGGATATGTAATCCAAAAACATCAGTAGAGCACCACATTGACTACCCTTGGATTAGAGTCTGCTTCAATAAATGCCTGAACTAGTATCTTAAGTTGTTAGCTATGTAGATGTGTGTCTGGATGCAGAAAGAAAGAAAAAATCGGTAAATTCAGAGGGGAAAGGAAATAATCAATATTTTTCATTCATTTCTACTGACTTCACTGCTTGCATTTCCCTCCACCACACGCATGTGGCATATATGCCTGCCAGTTTAGGACAACACTTTATACATTTGATGAAGTAGGCTTTTTACTTTATCTCATGTTCACCCCCTGAAATGTGGTCTTGGATTGTAAAGTCATTTGCTTTCTTATGCTTGTTGAAATCAAAAACTGTATTCGTTTTGAATCTTCATCAGTTTAGATGTAGGAAACAGTAACTTCGTATTCACCATCTAGTATGTCTGAGTACACGTAGTTCATCCTTCAAAAGGAGTTACAATTAAAATAGATTGTTAGACAATCATACGTCAGAGGCATCACTTGGGTTTTAGAGACCAAAGCATAGAACTATTTAGCTGTTGCCTGTATTGTGTGTGTGTTGTGCTAGTGACTCTAACAGGAAGAGAATCAGGCACATGATTTCAATATCTAGTTGCAGGACCACATTTTTAATAGCCTGAGGGTCAAGAACACATGAGGCAGAAATTCTGTGACTAGATCTCCAAATTTTTCTTTGCAGACTTATTCAAAGAACTATGTTTCTGTCGAGGTTTGTGTTAATTTGATTAAGGAGGGAACAATGGGGAGTGAAGGGTTAAATCCCCCATTCCCAATTTTTCTATAATCCGTGTTACCTACCTGCACACCACAAAGTTGCTATCACTCCCACTGGAGGAGCCTACAAGTTAGCCATGCATTGCTGCAAACCATCATCATGATTTGCGTATAGAGAGACCTCTAAAACTTTTATCAGCCCCAGCTTGTATATATTTACTCGGATGGAAGTTATCTCTGGTTCAGTGGGTCACATTTCCACATAGGTGTGTCTAGAATTGCAATCTTAATTGGTACCCCACTTTTTTCTTTTACTGCAGCACTGGATGGAAAATGTGCAGAGTTTTATTTTGTAATTTGTCTTGTTACAGAAAATGATTGAGGAGTGGTACC